GACATGTGCTGCATACGGAAACATGAGGTGGAAGGAAACGTTAGAAAAATATTTTGGAGACCTGGAGAGGGTATAGAAGATGGTATCGTCACTGTCTGAGACTTCTTTTAATTTCCAGCAAAAGTATTGTTAGATTTAAAATAGAACCCACTGGCTTTTTGTTTCATTTACCTCAGTTTATTTTATTAAGATAAGAAAATACCATCTAAAATACAAACTAAAGAAGACAAAGAGCCACTTCTCTGCATTAAAAGGAGCTGCTTAAGGTGGTTTGGGTATCTGACTCAGACAACACCTCCTAAATGAGGCGTTTTACGCATGCCTGCTGTGGAGGAGACCCAGAAAACGCCTTCTTATCCCCCACCAGAAGAAGTGGAGGAGCTGGCTGGGTGAGGAGGTCTGGGCCTGTCTTAGACTGTTAGACTGAGACTCTGATCCGGACCTGGAAAAGTGATATAAAATGGATGGATGGATAAACCCATCAGTGGTTATTTAGTTTTGTTGGATGTATTTATTAATGTTTTCATCAAAGGAACAATTATGAAAACAATTATAAACATAAATTTGTATGCTTTGTAAACATTTCAGAAGCTTAATGGTCCTGATCAGACTCCTCCACTCCCACTATCACAGTCACAGGTAGAAAGGGGAGCATCCAAAGTCCTTCTAGAAACAAGTTCAGCCACCCCGGCAGCCCTTCTGTACATTTATTTAGATGCCTTATTTAAATTAACTTTAATTTAAATGGTCATCAGGATATAATAAACTGCATTTCTGCAACCACTAGTAAAATATGATTTAAAAAAATCATTTTGTCATAACTTATACTTGGTGTTTAGTTTCATGACATGACTTATTTCGGCAGAGACACCATGCTAATTCTTGTTCTGGACAGGAATTAAAGAAAACGGTTATGTTTTTAACCAGTTTTGTTAAATTAACTTGACTAAACTTGGACATAACAGTGTCCATCAACACAGCAAACAGGACAAACGCCATCTCCCAAAGATGTTCCCATAAATGGCACCGAAGTGTTGTTAGAGACGCAGCAACGATTTTTAATATATGACTGTTTAGTTTCAAACATTTACCCGCCTGTGGCAGACGGCTGATCATCTTTTTTTTTCTGCTGCATACTCAGATCCAGGTCCATGTTTTTATGGTTAATTGGTTAGGTTATTAAAAACTGTGTACCACTCTGTCTTTGACTTCTAAGGAACATGAGGCTAAAACACTGAGATGGCAGTTAGTTTGCAGGAAAAAAGTATTTAATCAGGTTGGAACATCGGATTGTTGCGTCCAAATTTTTTAGCTTTGGGTTTAATCACACTCAAGTGGTCAAGCCAGTTTTGGCTGTTCTGAGGTTGTTTTGCTTTGGAAGACCTTTGTCCTTCCTGCAGGAGTTGAGAAATTGCTGACTGGTTTTCTCTTCTCTCAGTTGTCGATCCCGCCCCTTCAAACATGGGCTCATCTGTGGGCAAAAGCTGCCCGTCTCTGCCGGTGCGCTTTGGTGGCGTCTCACGGTTAATGGTGACTCCACGGGTGTCTGGGCTGGAGCGAAGTCAGGAGAAAAACCTGGAGCCACACTTCCCTGAGCCGGTTTCTTCTTCTACCTCTTCCCCCTTCTTCCCCGGCCTGCCTTCCCACTCCCCGGTCACGGTGCCCCGGTCCAGCCCAGTCAACGGCAGCCGCCACAACAGCAGCCCCCCGCTCTCCAAACCCAAGCCCTCTTTGCCCCCTCGAACTCAATCCATCTACAACAGGTATGAAACATACTGAAAACTGAAGCTCAATTTCTTCTTTCATCCCTCTGATGTCGTCTTCTACAGCTCTTTGGCTCAACTGTTGTGTTTTGTGTTTGTGTTTTCTCGGCGGCAGCAGCACCCCAGTCAAGCCTCAACCGTCTGCTTCATCTGTCGGGACTTCCTCATCTTCCATTCTTCCCCCACCTCCTTCCGCCAGTGTTTCTCTGCCCTTCTCAAGGGGCTCAGGATCCTCAGGGCCTCTCCGACCCCCATCCCGAACCAGCTCTGGAGCATTGTTCACATCCTCACCTGGCCTTCCTCCGCCTCCACCTCTGCTGCAAGGTACAGCTCACCCGACAGAAGCGGGTACAGCAAAACAGAAATGCTTCATTTCACCGTTTCAGTTGTTTATGGGAATGTGATGACTAATGTGTTGCAAAAATAAACCAAACCCAGACTTCCCCAGGCGGTTGTCTGGGTTTGTCTGGGGTGTTGAGGAAGTTGTGTATTGATGAACTGAGATCGGGTCTCATAAGCACAGCATGTGTTGCATAAAGTAGAAGTTGCATGTAAGTATCACTTCAGTAGTTGTAACTCTTTTGTTCATGTATCTGTGAGATTAACCTTAGTTTGTGTTTCCCACACACACACCTGGTTTATTAACCTTTAGGAGTATTTGGCAACAATTTTAGGATTTTTTTTTTTTTTTCTTTTCATCTGGCAAAAGAAAATCATGAGCAACCAGCTCTTATTTTGAAAGTTGAGCCATCCTTTGGTTCTCATGTTTTCAGCTTTGTTTATGGCCACTGTGTTGGTTGTGGTGCACACCAATTATCATTGTTCTCACAGCTCTGTAACCATTTATACAGACCTGGCAGTCCTTTCCTAAACGATGGGTGTCACAACTCAGAGAAAACCTCAACTTCAGTACTGACACAGGAATAGAAGAAGTCAAAACAGGAAGCAGAATGATTAGAGGGTTTTTTGTTTTTTCCCCCCAAAGCTGTTGTTTCAGTATCTCCCCCTCTTATAATCTCTCCGAACTCCTGCCTTGATATAGAATTCAAATGACAGTAAAGACTGACCCACTTGCACACTTGTCTCAGCCTGGTAAAAATTAGCAGTAACATAACACCAAAGCCGGGTGCACGCCTGCATATTTTTAATTTTTTTTTTTTGCCACTCTTGGTGTGCCCGACCATTCGTAAGGGCAACTGCTGTTGCAGCTTTCATCAATATCTATTAGCTGCTTCCACAAAGAGGATCTTGTCCACTCTGTGATATAAGTGCAAACCCTTGAGAAAACCTGGGCTGTAACAAGTGTTTATTTCCACCCATAGTTTTTATCAACAACCTTTTTTTTTCCTGACATCAACAAGACAAATAAGTAAATAAAAACTGAGGCAGGAGAACAAAAACTATGATGGCACGAAAACACGAAATGCAACACGAAATGTGGCAGAGAGATGAGATCCAATCAGAAGTAATCTGCTTGTGTGGTAAGGTTAGACGTCTACATTTGAGCTGCCCTCAGGAAATCTTTTCAACTAGCGCCCAATGCTCCCTGTTTCTCACGAAAATGCAACAAAATGTCGCATGGACACATTTTGTATTTGATGCTGAGGAAAATAAGACTTTAGAAACTCTATGGAGGAATTCTCACTGTTAAAAACACAGCAAACTTTTACACTTTATATTAACTGAATAAACTTTATATTTAGTCTACTATAAGCTTATGACGTTTAGTCCACTGAAACTGAAGAAATTTAGTGTCTTAAACTCTGATTAATTTATATCTTGATGCACAAGCTCACGCAAAAGACCCTTAAGAGTCAGCTACGTCATAGGCTCCGCATAGATTCAAGGCAGAAGTCTAAATAAGCTTGATTAGAGCTTGAACTTGTGGATGACTGGTGGATGTGCGTCTATGCTGAACTTGCAAGCAGCTACAGAGCAGAATAAGGGCTACCTGCGCCAGATGCAGTTGTGGTGGTGTAGTTAGAGTTCTTCTGCTAGATAAGACTCCCTGAAGAAGCAGGTAATGAATAATTTGGTGCTTGATAAACAAAATATTCACAGATCAGAAGATTTACCTCCACACATCCCCTTTAAGCATTGTTTGAATTTCTGAACTTGACCGCCAGTGTAAACAGAATTTTATGTTCTTTAATTTATTTTCTTTGTTTTATCCACTAATTACTGCCTCGTTATTCCAGCAGAGCGTGAGGGCAGACGCAGCGTCCCCGGGGCTGAAAATAACCCGGCGGGCCGCTCCACTCCAGGAGGCCCAGCAGCGCCGAGCTCCACGCAGGGCTCATCGAGCCGGACGTCTCAGAACCAGACGAGCATCCCGGCGATGGCGTTCCAGTTCCATCAGCACAACCACCAGCACCAACACACGCACACGCATCAACACTTCACGCCCTTCCTGACCCCAGCTACGGCGTCTCCGATGGTGAGAGAGACTCTGCTGTTTTACTCCTGTTTTAAACTCCACTGCAGCTGGAATGTGTTGACCCATCTCAACTGTTTTTGTCTTTTTAGTTCGATAAGTACCCAGGCAAGATGGACGGGCTGTACCGACACACTGTGAGTATCTGAGAATAGCTGTCAGGGCATGGAAACGGGAACTAAAACTGTAGGCGTAAGTTGTGTACCGGCCACTAAGGTGTGTTTGTGTTTGTGTCAGATCTACCCAACGTACACGCCGCCCTCAGTGCAGGGTATCCAGATTCCTCCTCCTCCTCCTCCTCCTCCTGGGCATTTCAGCTCATTGCAAGGGGCATTTCAGCCAAAGGTGAGGAAAACTCTCCTTGTGTCTTTGTGTTAGCATGATGTTTTTGTTTTGTTTTTTTCAGGCAATAACTTCCACGTCACGGTTTATTTGAGCTCCCTGTGATGACAATGTCACAGTGTCACAAGCACTAGAGGCATATTTGCCAACAATCCAGTTTTTCCCAGGTTTAAACAAGGAAGCTTATATTTTAAGCTTCCTCGTTTGGTTGTCTCTCCCAGAAACTCCAGTAATTTCGACCAGTAACCTATCACACTCAAGTTGGAATAACTATAATAAATGCATCCGTTTGCCTTAGGGCTCAGTCACACCAGTTCTAGAGGTCTGTGTGAGTGATCCCCTACGGTTTGGAGAGTTGCTTGAAAGCAAGTGCAAACAATTTGGCGTCAACTCTACAATTTACAGGTGCCAGATTTTTGGTAATTCGCCCTCTTTTTGACCAGGATCACCCAGAAATCTCCAGCAACCACTGGCCAGATGCACATTTTTGCAGCCAGAGCGTCACCGATAGGTCCCTAGTGTGTGACTGAATCCTTATGTGTTTTATTTGACAGAATTTGTTTGATAGAATTCAACACTTTCAGTGCAGCCTGGGAACCCATAACCTGATTAAAATAGCACGTGTGCAGCTAACCTCTGCGCAGGCAGAAGAGTTAGATGCTGAATAAACTAGTTCACTGTTGACCCATATGTGCGACGTGTTTGATGTGTGCCACGTCCCAGCAGGGAAACGGCAACTTCATCTCCCCATTTGAAGCTGGTGGTGGTACAACCGCTAAAATGAATTGCAAAAGGATGTTTTGTCATAGCGTAGAGGTGCAGGCAGATGATTTCCTGTAAAGCAAGAAATGTCAAATTTTTGTTATGAAGTAATTCAATTTAAGTGCCTTTGTTTTTAATAATGTTGATTGACATTTTGCTAATTTAATCAGGAATGCCTGAAGCCTGTTTTTTGGTCATTTTCATCTGTTTACATGTAAATTATGTGTATTTGTTGCCTGTTGAGCTTAACAAGCTTTTTGCAAAAATTGCCAAATGTTGATCGTGTACTTGACAAATCTAAATCTTCATTTTATGAGAAGGAAACAACTTGAACTTAATTTGAACCTTACCAAGGACGTCCAGGTGGTGTTAATGAAGTAAATTCAGTGCACTGTGAATTTGTCTCTCAGCCACTCAAACAATTTTGGTTTTGAACTATATTTCAAATAAAACTAGATGTAGAAAAAAATAACATTTGCAGCCAATTTTTCTACCAAATTAAGCAGCTGAAAAGGCAGACCAGACCAGAGTGCAAAAATATTTAAAGTGGCAGGTTCCTATTCTGCATCAGTGCGTTTTTATCTGTCACATCAAATCCTGGATTTTCAAATCTAAATGTTGACAGGTATGACTAGAGGCTAGTCGAATGAGCAGCACTCATCTAACAGCATGGGTGCTTTAGTTAACTGTGACTTCCTAAGGCTCTTGCAGTGTCTCTTGGGTTTGACCTGGCTGCATTAGCTAGAGTAAAAATACATTAATCGTAGCGCTAAGAAAGCAAAGAATGACGCCGGGTGTAGGCTGTGGCTCACGTGTTTGTGCTGCTTCAGTGATAGCCTCTTTGTCCCTCAGGGAACGGGTCCTGATATACAACGATTTGGGGTTGTGCCTTCCCACCTGCAGCCCAAAGACCCCAGGGTAAGGACACAGCGCTTTACTCTCACGATGGCAAATTTGCAGTATAGGCTAGGATGTGCTGCAGCACAGTCACTACAGCAGAAACTACTCCTGAGAAAGAGCAAGATGTGCAGATTAAAAGTGGTTTTACACTTCTCTTCTCTTGTAGCTTACTGAACACTTTGGGACATCAACATTGAAAATCACAAATGTAAGCAGAAACAGATGTTTTTGAATCCCTCTGCTCCTTTCAGTTCTTTAGTCTGCATCACTGTCTCACATCTTCACGCACTCTTTGCACTAATCTCACTTGTAATCTTGACTGCTACTGGTCTATTTTCTGCTCTTGCACACTCGGTTAGACTTTTCAGACCTAGAAATTATGCTATGATGTATGCGGTTATTCTTTTCACCGCCTTTCCTTTTTAAAAATATATACATAACCAAACTTGAGCTGGGCCCCAGATTTTAACTCTATCTCCTGCTGCAAAACCTCAACCTTGTATGGAGGTTAGAAAAGCTATTCTTGAACTGCAGGATCTGCCTCTGTGTACAAAGGCTTTAAAGTTGTAGATTCAAGATTTGTAGAATAACACGGTGTCGTTTTTGTGCTGTGCAGAAACCAGGAAAATGGTGTGCTATGCATGTTCAGGTGGCCTACATGATCCACAACCATCAGAGAAAAGTAAAGGTGAGTGTCTCTTACTGACATCATGTGGGGAGAGATTTAATTGCCACTATGCAAAGATGACAGTATGAGGTTTAACTCTTCTGCCCTTCATTCAGCTCATGCAGGCTGATCCTCACAAACTGGACTTCCGCAGTGACCCGCTGGCCCGTTTTTCTGGAGCCGGCGGACTGGGCCCGATGCCCTTACCTCCTGCTCATGACCTGACCAGACCTCCCAGTCTGTTCTCAGCTGCAGGTGCATGCCTTTTAATGTTTCGGTGTCCCAGCTGGTAAAATGTAATTTATTTATTTATGTCTGTGCACAGATTGTTGCTGTAAATAATGTGCAACAAGGCAAACAGGATTCAGGCTGTCAGTGTCTTTAAAATCTTAATTCTTTGTGGATTTAATGGTTAACAAGCACAAATCTGTGCTTTAGACTAGCGTGTGAACATTGCATTTACAAATCCAGGCTTCTTCAGTATCCTCACAAATGAATTTCTCGTATTATGCCAAGAAATTTAAAACTACATAATCAAAAATTATAAATCCCAGCCATCACATCCCTAATTAAATACTGCTAATAGTACAACTTGTTTGTTATTGCAGCTGTATTGGTGTTTAATGGATATGAAGCTAGTCAACAAAGTATGTGCAACATCTGCAAGTGCTGCTCTAGAATTGCACAAGATGGCAAAAAACACAAACAGTGGTGATAAGTCCAAGACAACGAACACTGGAGAGGAAAAAACAAATCAAGAAAAACCCCTCAAAAGATTTAAAATGAAAACAACAATCAAAGCTTGGTGCATTTAATTATTTCAAATGAATAAAGCAAAATTTACTAGTTTTCCTAGATAATATCAATGTTATATTCCTTATTGATAATACAATTATATTAAAAGTATACCATATAAAATGTTAAATGAATGACATCACTGTTTGCAACCAGAGCAGCAATCAAAAGTTTTTGTTTTTTTTTTTAAATTCAGTTTGGATCCAGTTTGAGATGAGTTTCCTCATTTCAGTTTAGTTTTTATTATTATTATTTTTTAAGGTTTTGTCTTTTTTGTAGTTGTGTTATTAGTAGTTGTTGCTTTAAATGTTATAACTGGGACCAAAAGAGTGAGCTTTAGGATGATGGTGGTGATTCTGTGGTCAGTTTAAGAATACCTTTTCAAACTTATCAGCGAATCAGGGCCAAAGATGTGATCGGTTTCTTCTGATGTCTCTGATCACTGTTTGACTTTATGTCCTTCTGTAGCTTTGCTCTTTGGTGTGTGAGTAGCATGTTGAGCTTGATTTGAATATTCTTGACATATTTTTTGTTTTGTTTTATTATCTCTTTCCCTCAGGTCCAGTCAATCCACCCTCGGCTCCGTTCATCTCTCCATCAGCGCCACACTCCTCGTTCCTCGCACCAACTCCACATTTGGGTAAAATCAGTTCAAACTTGAAAGATTTTTATTTTTAACTCATGATGAACAGTAATGTTTTTTTATAAATGTTTGGTTGATGAAACCAGGATTTTAGCTTGTTGTTGTAAAACTGTTTTAATGGTTGTGTTTTAGATCTGTATGGCCGATCGCCGCCCTTCACCCCGCTGGGAGCTCTGGGTTCTGGTGCCTTTGGAGGACTTGGGAGTCCAACACTGGGTCAGTTTCTCTGCATCTCTACGCCTGATGTGCAAAGCTTAAAGGATCAGTTCAGAGTCTTTCAAATCTACCTGAATGTAGCCCTCACATGTCACACGGATGTTGAAAGAGTTTCTGTGGGCTTCTTAGTTCTTACTTCCAAATCAAAATTAAAGGTGTAAAAGTGCCACTGCTCCACAGTTTGGCTCAGTCCAGATAAAACTGAACCACAGCTCGGTGTCCTTGTAGTGTGGGGAAAGTGTTTTTTGGATGGTTCACGCTTGGTCTAACAACATTACAACAACAGTTAACATTTTCTCACGGGCCAATAGAAGCCTTGCCATTGTCTATGAGGGAAAACGGTCCTTTCAGGTCATGTTTCAGGTCGTATTGAATAAAAAAGGAAGTCTATCCAGTCAGATCAACCTTAAAACCCCAACAAGACCAAAGGAGTGTTTATTTATAATTCTCTTAGCGAACTAAAACCCCGGCACACAAAGCTCATCGCACACCGCTTTGTAGCTTGGCTACTAGCAGACATTTTAGTCTCTAACTACATAGGTAACCCGGAATGTATTCACCATCCCTCACGTCAATCAGGAATATTCTTCACTCCTATTCATTGTCCCGTTAGTCACTCACCTCAAAGTTAAGCGTTGGGATCTGCCCTCCTCCCGTCAATAGTAATAGTTTTGCTGGATTTCATTGACCTCTCATGGCTTACTGTTGACACCACTTGAACCTTTATAACATTGACATATGCAGCTGGGCTCCACCTCACTAATGGTGGTGTTGGTTTAACCGATGCTCAGTAATAGTCTAAAACCTAACAAACAAAAACACTAACTCGATGAGCGTTGGTGTTGCTTTTCTTGGATTCCTTTGACAACATGTTGGCCTCTTAAATAAGTTCTTGAGCTAAACTGTTCTGAGCTGCGTTTTGGTCGCTGTAATTGTTCCATTTCACCACACAGGCCAGTAGGTGATCTTTTCCTAAAAGTTCAAAATCCACAGTTTGTGCAAACCTCGAACAACACTTCAGCAGTCAGATGAATATAATGAATTGGATGTCTTCTCCCTGGCTGTTGTACAACAGGTACTGTGTGCTGATAACCTGATGATTAAATTATCAGGAAGTATCTCAGCTCTGTGCCTCGACAGGGAAATGCTGCTTGGGGAAGCAAACTGTCAAATATCTGGTTGGCTATCTCAGACTACTGAAGATAAAGTTGGAAATTCATGTGGATTTTGCTCCCTCGTGTTTTATAGTGTAGTCTCACATTTAATGGCTCATGTAGACAGGTGGGATAATTATAGTCAGCATATGTGTGACATGTGTGTTAAAACAGGTATTTAAATACCCAAACTGATCCTTTAAGTCCTGCTTCAGTGCGTGAGCTTTCTTAATGGTGTGTGGAGTGTTTCCACCTGGGTGACTGAGTTTTTGGAGTCGGTGATGATTTAATTTAATTGCCAAAGAAACATCTTAATTGTTTAGTTTAAGGACAGACCAAAACTAGTCTTCACTCATGTAGTGCAGCGAGGGGCTGTGACGATACTTGATGTTAGCTAGAGGTAAAGTCACAGGATCGAGGAGTCTGGAGGTCTCCCGTTGAAGGATGTGAAGCACTATAGGACAATTGTAGTTTTAAAAAAAGTGAAATCATTGCAATTCTATCAGTCACATTGATCTGTAATGTTGCTTAGAGCCTTTCAGGCTGAAAACTGGCCTGATGAGGGACAACTGTAAATGAAAGCACGACTGGTCTGAATGCTGTTAATGCTGTTAAGTCCAAGTTATTATTATTCTAACCTTGTGCTATCAGAATATGGGAAAAAATTCTAATAAAATTCTAACAAGCTTAACAAAATGGCTTAAATAAGGATTATAATTATATAAAGGTCAATAAAATGAAATACAATAAAACACCTCTATTATATATGTTATGGTAATAATAAACAAATCTGGAATCAAAATAAATACAATGAAGTAAAACAAGCACAGATTTAAACAAAAATATGAACTAATATTATAGTATAAAATAAGATATTAAAATTACTTTTACTTTAAAGCACTGAGTGGTTTTTTTTTTTTAACCTTACTTACCGGATGTTTCTGTATTTCCTTATTTCTGACTGTTTAATAAATAAAAAATGTATTTTATTCTGAAATAAGTGAAACTCTAATTTAAAAAAACAAAACAAAAAGAAAATTTTTTTTTATCCCAACAAATTCAACTTAATTATACTACTGTATTTTTTCCCCTGTATGTGTGTATATTTAAAAAACAAAACAAACAAAAAACCCAAAAAACTGAGAACTACCCAAGATGCTTGGCATCTTTCCTCTGAGGAAAATGACCAGAAGTATTATTTATTTATACATTTATACATTTTTGTAATGGGCTTTAATTTGCTCAAGCATAAATACTTTTGGTCTGTCAAAAATCTAAAAATATCAGGTTAACGCCCAGACAACTTAACAAAGACCTCTTTGCTTTAACTACACGTGGCACGGTCGTGGTTGCTTGGTATGTGTGGCCAGTTTTAATTCAATTCAGTTTTATTTAATACAGCACCAAATCACAACACCAGTCGCCTCAAGGCGCTTTATATCGTAAAGTAGAGCCTACAATAACTGACAGTAGATCAGCTGTGCAGTGTTGACATTTCAGTCACATTTTGAGTTTTGATTTTGAAATGTGACGTTATCGTACCACCACTTACTGCAACACGTAAGATTAATTTAATCTTTAAATTGTAAAAACATCTGTCTGGGCGTGTTGGGGCATTTACTGTGCTAGTGAGATGACGATGATGAAAGGAGGAGATGGTTTAGACTTGTTGATTTGCACAACTGCTGCTTCACTCTGATTGGAAGCTTCTCTTTATGTTTTCATGCATATAAGCTTGCGTTTTCTAACCTGAGGTGGCCTCCGCTGCCTAAAGGTTTACTGATTGATTTGATCTGCAGCTGCTACTTTTATATTTACATTTAACAGTCTATCTGCTCCTGTGGTGTGGGTGTTGGGCTAGCCGTTAGCTTCAGTAAAAACAGAAACCGAGGAGGTGGCTGATAAACATTCAGCATAGCCTGACACACTCATAAGAGAGATTTATGATGGTACCTGTTACCTTCCCTGAAGCCAGTCGGTATAATTTGGGGACCTGAGCTCCTGTAATTACTACTGTCTGTCTGTACAGCTTTGAGTGTTGACCAGGTTTGAATCTATAACACATTTAAAGGTCACAGTTTGGTATTTAACTTAAATTTAGGCTCATTATTTGTGCAAAATGTAAAGATTGTTAGTATACCTGAGGGGTTGTAAAGTCAGATAAATTAAGGTAAACTTTGAAGAAAGATCCATTTAGAAATGCCCTAAATTAAGTTGACTATAGCTTCAGAGATGCACAAACTTTTTTCAGCATCTGTTTTAGATTAAACTTGGATTAAACAGTCCAAACAGACTGTAGAGAGACACACGGTGACTGGCTGACTGACTCAACCCATATATTGTGTGGATTTGGCTGCAGGAAGGCCAATTAATATTACTGAACACTCTCATATCTATTAGATATCACCACATCTATTATTGAAGCTGTAGAAAATGTAGAAGGAAAAAAAAGCTTGCTGAGACTAGCCATAAGACTAAGCTTTACATGTGCTACAGCTGAGTCACTGCTGACTTCTGGCTACAAGGTTGGAGAGGGAAAGTTCACACAACTTCCTCTAGTTTATATTCTTCCTGTCCTGCTTGGCCAAAGTGTACCGTCACGGTCCAGAGGAGGTGCAGGAGCCTTGTTCCCTCTCAGACAATGTGAATTAAAATAATTAAAAAAAATATTTCTGGACATTTTATCCAATGAAACAAAACCTACCCTGGCTTTAAGTAAGAATTTAACTGAAAATCCATCTTATCAGCTTTAGATACCAGACTATTTGGATATTATTTGGTTGGTTTAGAGATTACATCCCCAGCCCGATGTCTTTACTTTCATTACTGGTACAGGTTTAAACCCTGAGCCGTCCTTTTGCTTCTGAGCAGGGTAAACTTGTCTTCGAGCTCGGGCCGAGGTGTTTGTCATCACCTGATGCTTTTCTCCCCTCTTAATGCTTTTCTTTCCTGTCTCATAGCACAGCTACAGCTCAGCAGTCACTGTCACAGAGACATGCTGTGCTGGGCTTTGTCACTGATATGCAAGTAAAAGGTTGGATGTATTAATTTGAGTGACCAGAAAATCAAGTCCACCATGAACGTATGGATTTCTGTCCAATTGGAAAACAATCAGGGTTTGCTGGGAGGTTGTCCCATTGTTTAGTTGTGTTTGATCAACTAGACAAAGCTGGGCGAGTTAATCTAAGTACCCAGTACTAAACTATATCAATTAAAGGGTTACAAGAGGTTTGCTTGTTTAGCAAGGGTCAATTTCTTTTGAAGATTTCCTTTGTATGTGCTGCAGAAGAGGGTGTTGAAGGAAGTTAAGTGTTAAATAACTGGACTTGTTACTGAGAGGTGTTTTTACTGCTTTCAGTTTGAACTGCTACTTTCTAAAATAATATTAGATGCTAACAATAATACTTGGTTTAAAGCATGTGTGTTTACAAGCAGTAGATTATCAAATTTTTAATGTGAAAGTCAAAGGTGAAGATTTGCCTTTACGTTCCCTGTAATGTTTTCTAACATCAAAAAAATGTGTTTCATTTGCAGCCGGCTCCGTCTTTGGTCCTAAAGACTCACCAGCCAGTGTAGTCGGGGGCTTGTCTACCCCAAACCACCATGATCCCTGGAACCGTCTCCATGGTGGCCCGCCTGGATTCGCCGCCGGACCCAGCTGGGCTAAAGGAGCAGATAAGAGGGACGAGAGGGAACGAGTGAAGGAAGGCGAGAGAAGAGACATCCCTCACATCAAGGATGAAAAGGACAGGTATGAAATTAAACTGGTTTTAAGTCAGTGTAGGTTCTAAGTCATCCAGGTCATGGGAATCTTAACTGCTTGAGTTAAGGCAGCTGGACTTCTCTGATGGGGAGTCTCAGGTATTTGGCGCTTATTAGGGGTTGTCACCTTGGAGGTGTTCCTGAGAGTCTTTCACTCTTTAAGTAAACTACCAGCCATCTACAAGTCTTTGTATCTGTTCTTACATTTACTTGATGGCAAGGTTGGCTCGTCGACTTCATGAAACTAAAAGTTCATTTGTCTTTAACTTAAGCCTTTAAGGCTAATTTATAAATAAAACAATACATTTTTTCTGTATTGTGTGGCATTATTTAGTGTTAATCTCGTCTCTGCAGATAGAATGCAAAAATAATCACTCTGGGCCAGACTAAAAGCATTTTATTCCACAATGAAGCATTACAAAGATTGGACAGCTGCTGGGCTTAACTGTGTTACCCCTGTTGGGTATAGTAGTCTGTAGGTGATGCCTTTGATGGTAAGGAGGCTGTAAGACTTGCAGTAAGATGCCTCAGGGGGATCAATGCAATGCAAGTACAAAAGGTTATGTCCCCTTCGTTTTCAAAGCTATCCACTGGGCACGATTGGATGGTGGGTCATATGTTGGACTTCCCTGTTCCATGGTGTCCTGCTTGTTTTGCTTGGCTTTCACTCACAAACCCAAACACATGCCTATGACATAAGATACAAATGCACAATTAAGTCTTTGACGATGGCTAAAGGATTCATTCAGTCGTTTTATTTTACATGCATGAATACAGTCATGTTGGAAACCCACAAATATTCGCCTCTAACAACCAACCAAACAACAAACAGTACAGCCGATACCTTGAGTCAAGTTAGTTGCATATATTGACTTACCAGGAGATCCACAGAGGTTTAATACATTTCAATGCTGCGTTTATTTAAACTACTTTTTAAAAAAAAATATCTGTATGCTTAACCGTGAGTCGTTGCAGGCCAGCCAGCAGCAGGCAGAGAAGGGAACAGAGAGGAAAAACTTTTGTGTGTGAATTTACTAAATTACTGAACACGTTCGAGCTTGCATTAAAACCTCAGACAGACAGCTGTTTATTCTAACAGTGGTGAACACAGCGCCCTTTAACAGCTGAGGTTGTGGGAAGGGAGTCTCTCTTATTGTGTTAGACAAGTTATTTACCTCGAGAAAAGTGTACACCGTTACCAGCAGGTGCAGGGGAGGGAAATAATTATAGATCACCTGCTGAATTTGTAAGTTTGCTCACTCATAAAGAAATAAGCAGCTTCTAATTTTTATGGTCGTTTCATTTTAGCGGAGAGAGACAGAAACTTGACCAAAACTCCAGAAAAAACTGGACTTGCATGTCATTGAGTGAAAAAAAAGTATTTGATCTCCAACTACCCAAGCAGAATTCTGGCTCACATAGATTATAATCCCAGTCAATCAATTACAGATACTCCTGCCCTCATCTTATGTATAAAGCACACGTGTCCACACGTTCAATTCTTCCATTACACTATTTTGGTGAGAAAATAGTGCTGTCAAGAGATGTCAAGAGAAAGCTTGTAGTCCTGCAAGAAGCTTGGTGGGAAGGTGGGAGCTGTTGGTGCGATTATTCAGCAATGGCAGAAACATAAAATACGTTTGCAGCCCAAAACTGAACGGGAGGAGCTTGTTAATGATCTGAAAGCAGTTGGGACCAGTTAGCAAGAACACCATTGGTAACACACTACACCATGACCCAAAAAGCACCATCCCCACAGTTGAGCACGGAGGTGGAAACATTATGCTTTGGGGCTGTTTTTGTGCTAAGGGTATGCGACGATTTCACCTCACTTAGTGGCCAATGATTGGACCCATGTAGTGTAAATTCTTGGACGAGAACCTCCTTCCCTCAGCTAGAAGACTGAAAATGGGTTTTCAAGAATGACAATGGCCCAAAACGTACCACCAAGGCAGCCAAAGAAGAAGCACATTAAGGTCATGGAGTGGCCTAGCCAGTCTCCAGACCTCAGTCTTATAGAAAAACTGTGGAGGGAGTAGAAGTTTCAGGCAGCAGCCAAGACACCTATTGGATTCAGTTTCTGTAAAGAGCAGTGGTCCAGAATTCCTCTTGAGATGTGTGCAGACCTGGTGACAAACGACAAGAAACACCACTGTGCTTGTCAACAAGGGTTTCTTCACCAAGTACTAAGTCATATTTTGCTTGAGGATTAAATACTTATTAAACAATCTATACTTTTGTTGAATACGTATTTTCTGGACTTTTTTCCAATCTTGTGTCTCCCTCCACTAGAATAAAAGAATCAAAAAATTAGAGACAGTTCATTTCTTTTAAAGTGAGCAAACTTGCTGCAGTGTAACGTTCACAGAACTGGAAACTGAATTAAATTGTAATCTATGTGGAAAACTGGTGTGGCAGGTATTAAGCTCTACTGCTTCAGGCCTCCAGTATTAATATTACAAATACAAATATCAGGAGCTTGAATGTTGTTTAAATATCTTCCAGCTGCTTAAAAATCTAGCATGCCCTGAACTTTGTATGCTTTTTGTTTTGCAGAGACATGCTGTACGGCCCACCTGTGAGGATATCTCCAGTCGGTCCTTCCTATAAGCCCCGCAGCAGCACCCCAGTCTCACACATCAATGGCCACAGCAGCACCCTGGGGGGGACCATTGGACCTATTGAGGACCTGACACGCAGCTTAAATAGAGACAGAGACCGCGATAGAGACAGAGATGTGGAGAAGAGGCCAGTGCTGTCTGCGTCTTCAAGGGGGCCTCCTCTTGGATCTTCTTCTTTAGTAGTAGACAGGGACAGGCCGCGGTCTTCCTCATCTTCTGTGCTCACTCCTCCCCCACCTTCTAACCGCTCAGCCCAATCTCCCTTGGACCTGTACCCCCGCTCAGTGGCTTCCACACCGCACAACTCCCACAACGAGCCCTCGCACTCCCAAAGAGACGGTAGCCTTCCCTCTTCCTCCACTGCTTCCTCTTCTGTTTCTTCATTGTCTCAGACCAAGAAGCCTGATCGGACCTCGACGCCCCAGTCCAAACCTTCCATGCAAATTCAAGTGAAACAGGAGCGGAAGGAGGAGCCGGAGCACATCCCCATCTCCCACCACCCCCTAGCACCCAGCCACAGCTTTGACCGCCCCAACAGCCATCCTCACCACCCCAGTTCTGGCACCCCTTCTTCTTCCTCTTTATCTCTGACTCCTACTCCAGGTGTCCCTCTCCCACCACCTACTCCAAACCCACCTTCGCACCAACAGATGTCCCTGCTGGAACGCACAAGAACCATTGAAGCATATCTGGGGGGCGCAGTGGGTCCTGGAGGGTTGGTAGTCGGTCCTGGTGGTGAACGTTTTCCCCACGGTCCACCTCAAGGACCATCGCAGGGCGCACATAGCTTCCCTTGGGACCCGTGGAGGGAGCAGCAACATCAGCATCGTAGGGAGGCTTTAGCATTTCGGTCAGACCATCACCTAGCCCTGCGACCCGAACATCACCTGGCTCAGCTGTTCCGGCATCAGCGCCTTTTTGAGGCAGAAAGGGCCGCTGTAGCCGCAGCAGTGGTGCCCCACCCACAGCCTTCTACCTCTAATGCCTCCTCCTCTGCTGTTCGCCCCGACTTCAGCCTCATGGCGCATCCCTTCGATCGCCATCCTCAGCTCGGACCCCCAGGAGGTGGGCTGATGGACGAGGAGCAGCGGATCCAGATCTTTAGGGAAGACTATCGTAATTTAATGCACCTGCACCTCCCTCCTGGCTCTCACCTGTCCAGCCCCTCTCACGCTGCTACTGCCCCTCACCTGGATCAGCTTCACCCTCTCGCCCACTCTCTCCCTCCGGGAGCTTCTGGTGCTCACCAGCACCACCCGGGCTTCTACTCCCGCCTCACCCCGCTCATCCCACCCCACATGGCCAACGGTATCCTGGCAAAGACCACGGCGGGCTTGGTGGGACCTCTTCAGGTGGGGGCGCCGCCTCCGCTCATTCCGTCCGTCACCAATCGGTCGGCCACACCCCCCCGCAGCTCTAGACTCGCAGGTCCAGGTGAGCTGGCACTGTACAGCGCCCACAAAGACGCAGAATCCAGATAGTACAGGGACAACACTGGAGGAGATTAAGGGAAATGTCAGGATCACTGTGCTGCTCTCAACCTGCCCTTTTTCCTCTTGCAGACTACTAAACCCCGACCTTCCAATTACACAACCAAACCACCCCCGCACCCCTCCAAACAATGTTTAAAAAAACAAAAAAGGAAGGAGGTGATGGTAGGAAGGGGAAAAAGCAAGGCGTGGAATAAGCCCAATGGTTCTATCAGTGCAATTTAAAGGTACATGGTTTCTGTGCATCCTTGGTGTATTTTTATTTTATACTGAAAGTTTTCAGAAGAGGCAGAGGACAGCTTTTTCATTTGTCAGGTGAATTATTTTCCATACTTTTTTTTTTAAGCAAGCCTTTTCCACGTGGATTTGGAAACGACTTCCAGAGGGGATAAATGCCCAGGGGTTTGTTTGTCCATGGCTTGGTTAATTTATGGGATACTTCAAAGCCCTCCGCTACATGTATCAACCCTGCTGTTAGGTGTTGTGGGCGAGGGTTTATTTTGGAAATACAGTGGTAAAGTGGTCCTCTCTTCTGTTTTTGTTGGTGTGTCACTGCGCAAAGACAGATTCCCGATGAGACCATTTCACGAAGATCATTCAGCGTCGTACCTCAGTTTCCTGCTTTACCCCCAAAATCCAACTTCAGACCCCTCAGCTTCAATTTTGACATTTGTTTTGAAAAAACTTTTTTGTTTTCCTTTGTTGGTTTTCAAAGGATGAATGGCGAAATGAACTGTGCTACACTGTGAACACAGTGTCTTTAGAGCTTCCTGTAAGTGTTTCCCAGTCTCCTCTTGAATATACGAGCAGGACCAGATTATAGTAGTCTAGAGAAATTGCCTTTGTAATTATTATTCTTAACATTAATTATCTTCTATAATAATAAATATATTCACTGTTATGTTATTTGTCATTGTTTTGGGTATCAACCAGTACTCTGTCCCCGGGTAGTAATGTTTCAAATCATGCAGAAAGGCCTGCTTCACAGAAAACTCTTCAGTGCTTGTGAACATTAAAGCCGCATCCATCGCAACCTCTGGCCTCTTCAAGGATCTCATCTGTGACTATAATGCTAAGAGAGAGAGAGGTTTGCCTGTGTGTCTCACTGGTTGTGTGTTATATCCATTTGGGAGTATGGGAGCCTTGTACATTGAACTGTCGAGTTGTTTCTTCAACAAAAGTAAGTTATATACACGGATAAGTGGGACGTGTGCTGAAGAACTGAAAAGGAAAAAAAACATATAAGGACTGTCAAAAGACAACTAGCAGTGGGTATCCTGAGAGGGAAAAGACTGGGTCGATTATTTTAATATGACCGTTTTATACCTTTCGAACCCCTCCCCTAGAGACCACAAAGAATAATTATTAAATGAATTGTTGTTTACACTGTTGTGTGCGTCTTTTGTCCTGAATCTTTAAATACACCTGCTGTACACTTCATTAGGTAGGAACCACCTCGCCCCGTTTTACCTTCAGAACTGCTTCTTTGTAGCAGAGGTTAATCGAGATAACTATCCCCCCTCACCGTTACACCCCCCATCAGCAGGTGAACAGCGAGACAGCTTGGCTCCGTGCTTTTGTTTTTATGCCAAATTCTGATCCGACCATCTCAATGTTGCAGCAGGAGTTGAGATATTTTTCTGTTTGATTTTGGTGAGCCTAAATGAACTGTAACCTGTTTCCTGTTGATGTTACCGTTGCCTTTCTATCAGTTTGAAGCAGTCTGCCATCAATAAGGCATTTTGAGCCAGAGAACTGCTGCTCAGTGCAGCTCTTTATGGTTTACGGTGAATGGTCTAAAGGGATGGTTGTGTGGGGAGAAACTTCAAGGAGATCGCCGGTTTCTGAAATGCTCAGACCAGTCCATCATCACAGTCAATAATCCTTCATTCTGATGCTTGGTTTGAACTTCAGCAGGCTGTCTCCACAATATCTACATGCCCAAGTGCATCGAGCTGCTGCCATGTGATTGGTTGATTAGATATTTGCATTATCGAGCAGTCGGAACAGGTGTATGTAAGAAAATAAATAAATAAATAAATAGCCAGTGATTGTTATTTAAAAGGATACAGGCTACATACTTTTTTCAATGGGAAAATATAATTAGTGACTTACAGTAATCACATTTAAAATATGAATATATAAAAAAATAACCACTGTTCATCTTTATATACTTTTTGTCAAAGCCACAGGGAGTCACTGGAGATGGTCCAGGTTCACACCCTCCGAACTAAACAATTCATTATTAATGGAGCAATCGTGGAAACAATCAGCATATTATCTTAATTTCTCTGAACCACAATTGGGGTGGCGAGCGTGGATATATGTGCAAAAATGTTTAGTCCTGAATCCCTTGATTTAAATGAATTTAAAGGCCCAGAAATTAATAGTCATGGAGGAAAGTGAAGAATTTCAGACAGAGGACAGGTTTGTTTATTTTCGCTACTTAAAAGTGTAACTGGACCTTAGGAAAAATTTAATTAAAAGCGGTTTTGATATTTATAATCAAAACAGGCTCTTTTTAATTTAGGTTATTTGCAGAAACACTGGTACCCATCAGTGACCAGTGTAGCATTACAGTATATACTTCAAATCAGGCTTAATAGACTTTTTTTCTCCTTTGCTTCACAATTCTGTTGTACATTCGCAATGATAGTTTTTTGTATTTTTGTTCTATAATTTTACATATGTAACAAAAAATATAGTGTTATTGTAATTAAAATGCAAATAGTCATAAATGCTCCTCTGTGAAACAGACGTGGACGTGGCAAACAATAGTATTTATTTACACCTGTTGATAATATTCAAAGGATAATTTGTCCTTAAAAGGCTGTGCTATTGTTATTATAATGATTAAATTGGTTTTGTGGCTCCATCAGATTTCTTTTGTTTAAAAATGTCTCACTGTTGTTCAAACTTTGGCAAATAATAGGGCAGTATTCTTTAAACCAAAGAAAACCACCTAATATTTACATAAAGCTTTTAATAGTAACATTGAATAATTTTAGTCCATTCAACAAGTTTCAGGTACATCAAATATAACATGTTATGCATAGCATCACTTACAATCATACAGATAATCATTTACACTTAGAGTGCATTAAAAATATCTGTGTATTAAAAATATCTGCGATTATATCTTATAAATAATCCAACATTTAAATCACCAAGAAAATGGCGAAATAGCGTTTACTTAGTGTAAACAAACCCCGACAGGGAAATTAAAATAGTTTTGCTGTCACGTTGATATAATTCTCTTTATTATAATGAATAATCCCGAACAAACCGATTCAACAAGCACCATTTCTTCCAAGCACACCGCAGTAAATCAATTAAATTAACTCGTCTTTATATTAATCGCTCGCCAACGCCGGTAAATAAACTATCACAAATGTCAGCATTTCAAGTGGCGCGCTTGATGACTTCTCGCGAGATTTCGTGCGTTCTGTACTTTGTCAGCAGCGGTCCTCCACCATTTCGCTGCGTAAAGTCTCCTCCCCGCGACCGCTACATTCTGCGCCGAAACCCAGTCTCTCCCGGTCCGTAATTTAACTTCTTCCCACAGACCTAGGGGTACCTCGTTGGGTACCGGGAGACAGTTCGGATCACTGGCATTACGGATTGAGTGCGATTTTTCGCGGATGACGACTCCTTCAACGAGAATTTAGTAAAAGAAAATTGGTCGGAAATTTCAGGTAGGTGGGAACTTAAGATGGCGGCCTTGAGAGGGAGGGGGGCGAAGGAGGAAGTAAAGGGGGATTCAAGGGGGGTTTCAGACAACTGGAAGGCCACAATCAGACTGCGTTTCATTTGCTCACGCTGCTTCTGCGGCGTGCGATGAAATATGTACCTACCTACAACACTGACCTAAACCAAGATGACAAAACAGTAGACAGTGACATGGGATATCTTCGGATGTTAACTACTCTAAAAGAAAAAAGGAGTGATAAACCGTCACTTCCGTGCTGTCGTTTCTAAAGTGCGGTCCGTGGGGACGTAGTTAGCCCCCTTGAGTACCCCGTGTAATCGTTGCAAAATTTATATGGAACTTTCTAACACTGTTTTTTTTAGACATTTTGTATATTTAAGTAAAAAGTAATCACTATCTATTTTTAAAACTGAATAATTTAAACCCATTTATTTTCGCAAAAGAGGATTTGACCCCACGCAATGACGTCACGAGTGATTGTCTCCCCCTCCCTCTGTAGTGCATGCAGAAGCGGCTTTTAATGCGACTTTTCGGATGTTTTGGGGGTATTTTTGGGTCCTCAGCGTACAGTAACGCATTAAAATGTATCGGCATAAACTGGCTTCTTTGAAGCCTGAGCATTACATAACTGCGGGTGGGATGAGGGGCGCCTGCGCGTCAAATGAACGCACCCTACTAACTAACTCTTCTAGCTGGCTAGTTAGCAGCAGGCTTCCCCCATTTAACTGTTATTGCTGGAGCTAACGTTAGCTAGTTAGCCAGCCTGCCAGCGAGCTAACCGGCAACGTTAGGCGTTAACCTTTGAATTGTGTGTTCTATGAAGCTTCTTGAGCTGCAGTTCTCATATGGGTACGGCTCATGTTCCAAGGTATCACCGCTGCCACATCACTAGTGAATAAACACAATTTCTTGGTCGTCTTTAACCCCCATGTGGCGACAGGTACTCACAATTTAAAAGGAAAAAAAAAAAGGAAAAACAGTCACGAGAGCACGGATTGAATGACTGACCGGAGGCCCGCGCGCTTGGTCGCCGGCTTTTAGCGCGAGAGAGCGCGTGCTGCAGAAATCCTAACATCTTCCTGTGGGCGACTGCAGCAAATGCAACCAGGAGCTGGCTGGGGGTTTTTTGTTGTTTTTTTTTATTACCGCTGCACACACACCACAGTCCTAGCAGGAGTTTGCTAGCCTAGCTGTCCGCTCCTTACGTGACATGTTACTCATCATCCCACACATTCATATATCTCTGTTTACCAACTGAAGCTTCTGCCACAGCTCATTTTTATAGCTGTTGGAGTTGTAAGACCAGTCAGTTTCAGCAGTAGAGTTACTAATAGTGAGTTTAAACTGCTTATTTGATTTTAAAAATAAAGTTACCACCCGATTTCTGTTCCTCACTTCCTCAGAATATGTGGAGGGGACCCTAATTTCAGCATCCTGGAAGTAGAAAGCACCGAAGATCTGTGTCTTACACGACAGACAGGTGAGAGGCTCCTGCTTTGCACACACACATCGCTTCAGAAGTGGCTGTAATATCATGTGTAGTAATTATTTGTGACTTGCTAGTGAAGTCAGCAGTGTTTAGACATTTAAATAGACTTCTTTATGTTATTATTTTGTTAGCAAAAACTTATTGTACTTAGTCCCCATGAAAAGAAACTCATCAAACAAAATATAGTGCACAGACTGTGGTTTTTATTTTGATATATTTAGTCTAAAAAGTAAACACATATGAGCTGTGCCGCTAGTGTTTTTGCATTAAAATTTACCTTGCTTCTTTTAGATGGAATCTAAGGTACTCTGTTATTTAGCTGGTATAAATGCTATTTACTCAGTGGAGCATCCAGAGATCCCCGTTTTTATTTGTTTATTTTGGTTTTTGGTTTCAGGTGTTTTATTTTCCCTTTCTTGTGTATGTATATTAATGACCTTTATAAAGATATACATACAATTGTGGAAATTTTTTTCCGGAGATTTTTGCAAATGTGCATTGCCATTATATTGTTGTTGTTATTATATTTAGACTTAAAAGAAAAAACATGGGGGATGAAAATGTCCTGTTTAAAGAGGGACATGTGGTTGCACTTTCATTTTTACCTGTTAAGTGAGTTATACCAGAAGTGTTCGTGTGCCACGTTTGGCCCATTAGCCCAGTTTGACTAGTAAAACCAGTGCTACTAAAGAACATTCACCTGGACAAGTTAACAGAAAGACATCCCTGGATTCAAAATGAGCCAGACACGATCTTGTTTTCATTTTTTCTTTTTTTTTTTTGTCTCCTTACATCATGTGTTTGTTAAAATTGATAAATCATAGTGACAATATAAGATATCATTCTGCTTTACTTATCTCAAAAGTGGGGAAATCCCTTTATTGCTGCAAATACAAGCTATAAGCACATAAGATGAGTACAGTGCTATATAGTTCAATAAAATACATCACAGTAAAACACACATTAGTAAGTACAAGAACTGAAGTAAAATCAAAATTTAAGTGAGTATAAACTTAAATAAAACGATTAAAGCACACTTATATAGAGAGATGTATACTTGTGTGTGAAGCTAGTACCATCACACCACAAAAAATGAGGAGTTTTATCAAAAAATTTGAGTAATTTATGACTTCACTGCAACTCTCACTCTTTACAAAATATCCAGTAGCCAATTGGACCAGTTCATGCCTGACACCCCTGTTAACAGCCTGTGTCTCTCCCCTTGCAGGTGCAGTGTGTAGCCGGGGCAGCACAGAGGAAGGACGCTCTGGGGAGGAGGCGGCGCGGCAGCACGCCTCTCCGGCTGTGGATGTGCTGGGTGGCAACCCCCAGGCTGCACAGAATGTGGCTGGGGAGTCCCCTCGGCATGCCCCGCAGCCGGTCGCAGCTGCCCCGCACCCAGTCCCTCCGCTCACTGATCCGTCCACTGTGCCCCTGCTGGAGAGCAACACCCCAACATTCGCCAGCACGGAGAACGCCCCTCCGACCACCTTGCCTGAGACTCTACCAATCAGTGGTAACATCATCTCAGAAGAGAGCGCCGTCGGAGTTGCAAGATCTTTGCCAGCGTCCCTCACTGAGGACTGCAGTTCCTCTGCTGAGATGCAAAGGCTTCCAGCTTCCCTTTGTCCTCCTGTCCCCTCACAGATTGACAAAACAGTGCAAGAGCTGCAATACGGGTCACAAACTGATAAAGAGAAAAGCCACTCAAACAGTCAGACAAACCAGCTTCCTAGAGAAGGTGCTGGACTTGTGGTTATTACGGGAACAAAGGAAAAACGGTCCATCACCTTGGAATATAAACCAGAGACTGGAACAAATATGGAACTTGGTGGAAAAGAGCACACAGGTGGGAATATTCTCCCACAACAACCCAAATCTCAGATCTGTTTCACAGCCTCATCTCTCTCTGTCCAAGACGCTATGGAGGGTGGGGCTGTGGAGCAGTCCGACAGGACTCCACCTGTCCAAACAAATCAAAGCAGCCATATACCTCCGTCAGGTGCTGCAGAGCAAGCAGGGAGTCTCCAGGACTCGGCATCGCCTGCACTCCTTCTGTCCTCAGCCGAAAACAGAGAGATTAAACAAACTAACCTGTCAAAAACTCAACCCAAAACTATCAAGGGGATCTCCGCTAATGCTAGAGATGTGCAGAAAACGGCTTTTTCGGAGTCAGTTGAACACATTGAAACGCAGCCTCATTCAGCTGAAATACTCGAAGCCGCAAAGGCAAGAGAGCTGCTCCCTGGAATATACACTTCGACTGGAAAAGGAAGCTCGGCGTCCAGCTGCGGTCCCCTTGAAGGAGCGCAGGTGGAGAGTAGCACGAGCAAAGAGCAAGCTGACTCGTCAGGCCCCACAGTGCTGCAAGAGATTTCCTCAAAACCTTCCACCGGACCTGCTCTGTTTGACACAGGCCTAGTTGTCTCGCTTCAGGCAGGAGAGGTTATAAAAGCTGAAACATCTCACACTTCTGACCAAGTCGCCTCAACAGAGCTCATCGCGGAGATTGTGCATTCTGCCGACACTCAGGAAATTGTGGTTGTCGGGGAGGAGGCTCATATCACCGGGGCCTGGCCCACCATGCACCTGAATCAGAGTTACCTTCTGCAGCGAGAGGATGGCAGCGTCTGCGAAGCCGCCATCGTGAACGAGCTGACTTCGGAGATCTCCGCTGGGGAGCCGAAGCTGTACACAGGAAGCGTTCAGACGCAGATGGAGCTGGGCTCTCAACCGGTGGAAGTGTACGAGTTTTGCAGTCTGGTGGAGGAGGTTGCAGAGGAGACGGTCTGTGCCAGCAGTGCTGCACAGATGCCTCATTCTCCTGGATATGAGGTGAACTTATTCAACGCTTTACTAGAAAACTCTGAGGACCTCGAAGCATCTATCCACACAGTTGGTGAAAACAACACCATCATAATCTCCCAGCAGCCCTTGCGTTCAACAAGTGATATAAATCAGGCTTGCTCTAGCAGTAATTTATCCATACGAAACACAAGCATGGCCGGAGTTGAACAGCATTTGGTGTTAGATGCTAACCAAGCTGTTGAAGTGGCACACTCAAGTGCGGTTTGTTTAGTTGAAGTAGCAGCCGTTACTGCTGACTCATTCACTGTTGAACAGGCAGACACCAGCGCACAAATCGGGACACAGGTCGGTGCTGACCAGACGGAGGTGAGCGGTGCTGCTGTGCTTCAGACTGTTGGCCCAAAACAGGAAGCAGAAGTAACAGTTGCTTCGTTATCTCTCTTATCCCCAGTGGTTACTATTACCAGTGGAAACTTGGGGATGCAGGCGCCTGTTGCTGTTACACTTTCTCATATAGGAAACCAACCCTCCCTAAATCAGACCCCAGGAGTCACTGTTGTAAGTGTCGCAAAGCCTGAGGTCTGTGTTTCTGCTTGTGACGGGACCAAAGAATCCCCCGCTGTCACCACAACGGCATCAGTGACTGTTCAGAATGTCGCCATGCCCTCAGTAAGCAAGCCAGTGGCTTTCCGTGCCGCTCCTGGGGCTATAAATCCAAAGCTGCTCCTTCTCAAACCGGGAGAAACTCCTCTCCTGAAACACCCACCCTCCTTTTCATTGTCTAAGCAACAGAATGCAGACGGCAAGCTGGCCAATGCCCACGGCTCCTGCTCCTGGTCTGGCACGGTGTCTGAGGAGTGCCTTCCCCAAACAGTCTCCGCTCTTAGCAGCTGCAGCGATCAGACGCAGCAGGCTGTCAATGAATTGTCAGTGGTGGCAGCAGCAGGAGCTTCTGTCAAGCTAGAAAGTGGTAATATTTCTCTTGAACCCGACCCGGCTACACCTGCCACCCCCTCAACGACTACTACAAGCAAACCTGAGGCCTTAACCGTTAGCAGAACTTTATCCCAAGATGTTTCCACAACAGCCGCTACGCTGCACAGTTCGAACATGCTCACAGCTTCAGTCTCAGCATCCACCAGCCCCGGCGACTTCCCCAGCCAACCCGATTCCATCTACGGGGAGGAAGACGGCGAGGACATTGAACATGACGACCCTGCGGGAGAAACTGAGGTCCAGGAGAGCAACTCGGGACAGGTTAGCAGCCCAGAGGAAGGCAGTGACGACGAACCCGACGGCGAAAAAAGCGAGATGACCACCCCCAGCTCGCCACACAAGGTATTTAATCCATTAAAAAATGGAAACCAAAGAAACCATAGCTTAGACATAGCATTAAGACTCATAGTCATGAGTTATTGCTTGAATGCCAAGGTATAAGAGGCGTCCACAAAACACGAGCACAACTGAAGCAAAACAGCTGATAAATGCTAAATCTGCATCCAGACATCTTGTCGCTGTGAATAAGATGAGATGAACTGTTTATTGGATCTTTTTTGTTCTTTTTATCCGAGTGAGGAGCTTAGGGGTTTCAGAGAGGTTTGCTTCCTAACTGGGTATGACAGAATATTTTTTTTAGTGATGTGCAACACTGTTACTGTTGCTGAAATCATTTTTCTGAGCTGTAATTCAGTCCTGAAGAGATGCGTTAATATTTTATCTTGGCTAAGAACAAAAAGCAGTTTTAGTTATCAAATGGTAATCAGATACGCTGGCATGCTTTTTTATTTTAATTTTAAAAGGACGTCACTCCGCATGTAGTCCATCTTTAATGCAACACGTGTGTGCGCGGTGTTCTTATATGCAGTGATTCATTTCTTTTAAGTTGGCCGCATGCTAAGCCATGTGTGTTTTCCAGCATGGACAGAGCAGGACAGACAGACAAGCACTGTTTCTTAAGGTAAGTGGTGGTTGTCAGACACCCAGACAGGCTCATTTTAACAGAGCATTCATGAGCATATCCCAGGCAGGAGAATTTTAACTCAAGCAGCCATTTCTTTGACTTCAGCTCTTTTATGATTGCATGAGAAGACGGCTGCCGCAGACTCGCTCGTGGCCAGTTTGACACGCTTCCTAAACACTTAAATGCTCTAATCCATTTCATGCATGATGCTTTTGTCTTAGTGAAGCTTAGGCTTTCACCTTAGTTTGTTTCGTTTTCTAAAAATTAAAAAAAAAAAAAAAAAAACCTCTTCATCCTTGTCCCCTTCACTCTCAGGTACGCCAGTGGATTGCAGACAGGGTCACTGGGAATTCTTCTCCTGGATCACCCTCAACCTTCTCCTACCCCGGATCCTCAACCACACCTGACTGGTCCACACCACGGCGGGAGAGGTCCTCGCCTCTCCGGGGTCCCCACGGAAAGTTTGTTTCACCTTCCTCTCTCGGTGCCTACAGTTCGTCGTCCTCGCCGCCAGACCAGGGCTCCTCTCAGCGGTCCCGCAGTGAGCGTCACACCGACATGGCAGAGCTGGCTAAACATGTGAGTGAGCATCATTCAGGATGTTCAGTATTTCTTCCACACGTCCGCGGGACAGTCGACCAGTCTGTCTCTCCGTCTGTGTTTTTAGCAGTCTTTCTGCTTGTCTAGATAGTTTTATCTAAT